TAATGCAATTCACTATATGCTAATAAGGATGAGCAACCATAGTTCTATAGCGCAGCTACAGCGGGTCATTCATGAAAATGAGAGAGAGAGAAAGAGAGAGAGATGAGGAGTTGCAAAAGGAGAGAGCATGCATTTTGAATACGAGAGAGAAAGAGAGAGGATAAAATGAATGTGGATCATACTATTTTAATAAACGGCGTTTGTCAAAAATGGACGGAAGGTGCTTATTGCTTTGTTTTTACTAGTTGATGATTTATTTTGTAGCAGCCTATAGTATATGCTACTCAGTGCACCTCCAAAATAGTCTAAGGTTAAATTTGCATCTTTACCCTATATATATATATATATATGTAACTTTTTTTAAATTTTTGGAATTTTTTCCCTTTTTCTTTTCAACACACTAACAGTTTTTTTTTCCTTTTTTGCATGAATTTCTAGGTAATTTTTTCTTCTTTTTTTTTACTAGGCAAATAAAATGAGAACACACATAATATGAAAAAGTCACAAAGGTGAAGAAGAGGAAAACCAAAAGATAGAAGTAGATAAGGTAGATAAGAGATGATTACAAAAAGAAATAACTCAAGATGAAGATGAAAATGAAGATGAAAGTAATGAAAGTGAAAAAGAAGAATAAAGGACAAGAATTCAAATCACAACTAGGACACTAGCAACCATAGCTCTAATAATAATCTGATAGGAGACGTGGAAGCAGAATCATGCTAGTTTAAAGACAGAACCTTGAAACACAACAAAAACACAAGAACAAAAAAAAAGGGACGAAATTTATGACAAAAATAAAGAAAGAAATGAAATAAATAACGGGATAATGATTAAGGATAAGATCCTTTAGAGCACCTGCCTCTAGGAACCTCACCCTTTGACGATACCATAAGAGTTAATTGCGCTCTTGATCATGTCTGTTTCTCACATAGGATGCTACCACAAAGCACTAAAGCTCACAAGAATTATAAACTCTAAAATGAATAATTTCATTCAACTTCTCTTCCGTTTATGAGGGAGCATGCCTAATATATATAGGCTCATAAAGAAAATTATTTCCTAAAATTAAAACCCTAATTTCCTAATACTAAAGGGAGAAAGAAAATAATATAAAATAAATATTTAGCCACATAATTTAGGAGATGTGATCCTAAAATTATGGGATTACAAAACTTAAAAATAATATAATTAATCCTAACCTTTGACTAGACTCAAAATAGAAAACTATGACTAGTCTTGTTCCTTAAAAAAGGGAGTCAATTCAAAGGACCATTAAAATAGGAAACAATTTAGGAGATAACTAAAGGATCATAAAGGATTTAAAAGCACACTACCATTAACTTCTTTACTAGGGTTTTATGCCTCCCTACTTGCAAGAGGCTCCACTTACAGTCTTCCTTGCATTGGGCTAGGGTTTGCACTTCTTGGGCTTGACTCTTTGTGAGTTTGGATTTTAAGCACATTATACACACTTAGAGGCTTTCCTTTAGGCTTGAGAGGAGTGCCCCAATTCTCTCCAAGCTCTTGAACTTCTTACACAATATTAAACAAGGCTTGCTTCATGGCTTTAGTTCGGGCTATTGTCATTGGACCTCCAATATGTTGTAAAGGGTCTTTAGGCACATTGAATTGAAAGTGTTGAGCTCCTTACTCTTTACCTTAGGCTCCTTTCATGCCACCATGTTTATGATTACCATTCTCAAACTTCATTGCCATTAATGCCATGTCATCCGTGGCATAAGGTCTATCAAACGATGATGATGATTTGCTTGGGATTTTTAGTTTTGTAAGAATGAAGAAAAAATCTGGTTATTTCCCAGTTTTGATTTGCTTGGGTACAAGGAAGAAGATAAGATGATAGCTAGTTTGATACACTCAATGGAAAGAATGAAAGGGATATTTTAAAGGGTAATTTTGTCCTTTTGTATTTATTTGTATTTTATTATATTTAAAAAATAAATTTATTCCTTTTTTATTACTTATAGATATCGCCCTATTGAAGGTAATTCTATTTAATATATGATTGGGTACTAAATATAAGCATTTCTTTCAATAGAATTTAAACCATTAGTACTTATTCATAATTATTCTACCACTACCAAATGTCATACCAAACAAATGCTTCATAATTATCATTTCACTCCATTACGTTCCCTATGATTCGCTTAACCAAGCAAGCACTTGAGGACCTTATCTTATGTCAAAATGCCAAGCTTCATAAAATGAGAGTTTATATATAGACTCTCTTAGAATCAAAATGAGTCCTTCTAGAATCACCCCCTTTATAATACAATGATGAAGATAAGAGATATCATTATACAAAATTAAATCATCACTTTTGACCATATTTGCAAGAAAGTTAATGAATATACCTTGTGGCACACTTATCATACACTTTATGATATTTTTTATTTAAATATTTATGTTCTACCTTTAGAGTGTAAAAATTTGTTAAGTTCTAATATACTTCCTTTTAACCATACTCTAAAGCCTCTTCTAGAAGCATTACTTGATTCAAAATATAAGGAGTTAGATAACTTTTATATTTATTTTTTTTAACTATGCCCCTACTTTATTTATTACCCTTTTTAAAAAAATCATGCATTAAAATTTTAATTACTATTATTAAGACTCTTATATAAAGTATTTAATTAGAGTATAAATGAAAAGATGTGAATATTTTTAAGAATTTAAGATTTCAACTAGCATCATTCGTAAATCATGAATTAATTAACTAAGTCTTATATTATGGTATGGAGTGAGTAAATTGATTACGTTATTTCCTAAACAGACTTTTTCCATAGTTTTCAATTAAAAAAAAAAAAGCAAAAGAAAGCAATCAATTCAGCATTGCAAGTCCTGAGAATACTGAGGTACAAAAATGAGTCCCAAACAACATATTTAAATAAAAGTATTGCATTGCAAAGAAAGCACGCTAGGAAAAGAAAAATTAAATTTGACAAAGCGTGAAGCTTGATGATGGCATCAATGGAATGCCTTGGAGATGTCAACTCGTGTGGCCTTCTCACTTGCAAAGCAAATATGCATGCAAACAATCACATTAGTTTGGATCGTCTTGGTCAACAGGGGATTTGGATCCTTCAAATCTATTTTTGAGGCAAATCAAATAATATTGGAGAGAAATAGCTCGAGACAAAGGAAAGAAAAACCCCAAAAATAGCATCATTTCTGTTTATATTTCATGTATTCAGAAAGTGACATGAAAAAAAAAAATTGTAATCGTGAATGGAATTCACATTTTACAACAACACGAATCTGCTATTCATATCTTACAATTATACTCATCAACTCTTTTCTTTGCCCCTCTCCCCAAATGGATATCCATTTGGGATGTATTTAAATTAATGAGGTCAAATTCATTTTAAATTATAATTCCTTTATAAGTTCAAATTCCCTCTACACTTTAGTTATTTAAAATTTTAATCACTTCAAACAATTAAAAAAAAAATACCACCTTGCTCACTTCGTGATTTCACTATTACTATCTTTATGACTCTTATATCTTTTCTCATCTCTTGTTAATTAAAAGATAAAAATAAAATCATCATTTCTAATTTTTTATTTTCATTCTAAATCTCATCCATCTCTTTTTTTCATTTGAAATTTTTTAAACTATCTAAACAAAGGATTTTAAATGTAAGATTTGAAATGTAATATTTCAAATCTAAAATCCAAATCTAAATCCATCAATCCAAATGCTATCGTAGTGAATGTAGAAGATTTAATGAAAGCACCATTATCTACTAATAATGATTAGGCTGATTAGAACGAACATGATTATCTTAAAACAAAGTTACTTCATGGATGGAAATAGATGTTCAAAGAACTATTCCAATTGAACTTGATAATACTTAAATCTAACTTAGTAGCACCAAACATTAAATAATTGTATTAAATAAAAGGCACCACCATTTGATACAGTATTTCCTTACTGGAACACATTTTCCCCAAGTCTGCCAACTCTTAAGTATATCAAGAGAGACTTTTAAAATAAATTATAAAACAGAGTATGCGTGCGTTGAGTCCAAAAATTTTGAAGCGTGAAAAATTACTAGAAATATGATATGTGGACTTTGTTGATTGGGTATGTGTATCTTATCCCTTTTATCATACCAACATGGATTATTGGACTACGATACGTGGACTAAGATGTTTGGGTATGATTTTTTCAACCGCTAACAATGAAATATATCTTTAAAAAAATATTTCAGAACATCAGACTTCCAACATTTAACTACACATAAATTTTATTTGCCTTCTTCCACACTCGAAAGTGATTAAGTAATGCTGTTTTAACTCTATCAGCTATGGTACCATAGACATTTTTACCTATTACTACACATTGAATCCTCCTATATTGATTCATTCATCATGATTTGAACACTTGCCAGATTTTTTCTGACTATGTTGAAGCTATTATTTATCTGAAATTTAGTGTTTTGCCTGATTAGATTCACTTGTGCAACGTATGGGATTGTGGCTAGTTGTATTAAAATAAGAGGCACTAACATTTGCAATTCCTTACTCCCTAAGATATGCACCAACACTCTTCTGGTATTTAAAGTTTTAAGGAAAAGAAAACAAAAAGGTTCAGTTATAACTCACAAGGGACTTTAAAGTCTACAAATACACAAGTATACATCTAGTAAAGCTTAGACATCCAATAAGCATAAAGCATTACATCATAATAATGAATTTTTAAGATTCAGACGCTTCCAGCGTTATGACCCAGAAACAAATCAAACGTTCCAGTGACTTTACCTAATGAGCCAGAAATGAAGTAAAAAAGCAAGCTCTGCCACAGCCTTTTATCGCAAATTTGTAAGTGTCAATTCATGAATGTGCTTACAACTAGAAAATGAACTGCACTGAACCCAACTAGACATGCTAAAACGCAGAACCAAGGAATGAGCCATAGTTTCCATTTAAACCATGGTTTCCAGAAATGAGCCATAGTATAACACATTGTAAGATAAGTCAGTTCAGAACCGAGGATTTATCAGATTATAATATATGTAATCAATCCAAAGAACACAATCCACATTGAAGCAATCTTACACAAGCAACATCTATCATCATATAGGATAATCTCTTGTTCAACAGAAGGGATGGTATATAATATAGTAATGTAGTACCCACATGTTCATTGTAAACTAGACTTATTCCCATTCTCCACAATGCATTACTTAATTAGCATCAAGAGTTACCAACCTAAGTCGCCGGAGCACCTGGTGTAAGAGTAACATTGTTGAGTCGCTCTAGAACAAGAATTAGTGATTGAGTTCCCAAATTACCTTCACCATAAGCCTTAAGCGACAAGTAAAGCTGCTGAGTAAGAGCCAGCCCAGGCAAAGCAATGCCCAAGTTCTGACACTCCTTCAAACAAATCCCCAAGTCCTTCACAAAGTGATTCACGTAGAATCCCGGCGCGAAATCCCTCTTCAAGATTCTGTGCCCATACAAATCCAGGGACTTCGAACCCGCCGCTCCAGTCGAAATTGCATCCAAATATAAGCTCACATCAAGACCAGCCTTGTGAGCACACACCATACCCTCCACAAGCCCAACCATGGTTGAAGCAATCGTAATCTGATTAGCCAACTTTGCGAATTGCCCCTTCCCACTACTACCCATATAATTAACCTTCCCCATGAGGGAAAATAATGGGCTCAAACGGTGAACTACAGACGAGTCTCCCCCAGTGAAGATTGCGAGGATTCCATTCTTAGCACCGCGATCACCGCCGGAGACGGGAGCATCAATGGAGTAACAGCCTTTGGAGGCGGCAGCGGAAGCGATTTCCACAGCAAGGGAGGGTTCTGATGTAGTCATGTCTACGAGAACTCCACCGGAGTTAAGTCCGGAGAGAGCACCAGATCTGGGGTCCAGAAGGACCGAACGCACATCAGAAGGGTAGCTGACGATAGAGAAAACGACGTCGGACTGGGAAGCCACTGCGTGAGGAGACTGAGCTAGCTGAGCACCCATATCAAGAAGGGGTTGAGCTTTAGAGACAGTTCGATTGAAGACAGTGAGCTTGTAGCCAGCTCGAATCAGGTGGGCGCACATGGACTGCCCCATGACGCCGGTCCCGATCCATCCCACACGGGTGTTAGATGGGCTAATCGGCTCGGCGGCAGCGGTGGCCATGAAGCGACGGAGTAGGGTAAATAGAACGGCGGAGGGATTGGAAGTCTGAGAATGATAGAGAGGATAGGAGCGCCAGCAACGCTGATGAAGTGAACGCCGCAGAAGAGGAAGGGGCATTTCCCTTCTATTGGTGGTGTATAAATTATCTCATTATCCTCTGTGTGAAGCAGAGAGCAAACCTGCTTCAATTTGTTCGTCTTTTTTTTTTCAAATAAAAAATAAAAAAAGCTTGAGGTCAAACGATATTAAACACAATTAAATTACAAGAAAAATTACATTGAAGTTATTAGTTACTATAAAATTCATTAATAATTAAATTAAATACTGTTAATAACTCAATTAATTATCAATGATGCTCAGTTCACTTATCAATAAATTATATAGTAATTAATTTTTTGGATTTAATTATAATTCTTTTTAAATTATAAGGTGAATGACAATTTCTTTGCCATTTTTACCAGGGCTATACAAATATTAGACTAAATTGAGTTAGTGCCAAACTAGAGGTGTGATCTAATATTTTATTGTACTAGACATAGCAACCTATGATTTGATTTGGTTTGATGTAACTTGGCACTAAATCAAACCAAACCAAGTCCTTTGAGTTATTAGACTAATCTCCCAAACTATAACTTTTTAAGAGAAAGAAAATTCACACCACACTCTCAAATCATATATTTAAAAAAAGATTTTTTTTTTTTTTTTGCCAAAAAATATCCAAAAGAGAAGATGAAGAAACATGTACACAAAGCAACACATCAATTATCACAAATTTAAAAAAAAAAAATCACAAATACAAATCAAATAACCAAGCCTCTCAAACAGATCACCCTCAGATCATGAAGCAAAAAGCAATTTCTACCAAACTATGGGTCACTTGGACACTTTCACGGCTTCAACCACCAACAACACAGCGGTTCAAAAAAAAAAAAAAACAAGCATCGAAAAGTTGAATGACTATTCAAGTATGAGGGAGGAAGAAGCAGCATATATCTAGCAGCAAAGATGAAGAAGAAGCTCAAGACCTACGGCAAGGAGGAAGATACACACCATATTTGAATTCTGTGAGATGAGAAGTCGACTATAAATGAAGACGGACTGAAGGCAAATCGACTTGAATTTTCTTCATTCTTGACGGTGTCGATTCTTAATCCATGATTTGCACTTGAGAAATGACTGATGTGAGGAAGAGACTGCATGGTGGTATTGAAGAAGGAAGAAGGGACAAATGATAGAGAGACATTGAGGATTGAGGATTGAGGAAGATAGGGATCGCGCATGCATGGGATGCGAATTGAAAAGCTGTGGCAGAAAGGGTATTAGGCTTAGGGCTCAGTGAAAGTGACGCATGATAACAAAAGCAAAGGATGAATATTTTTGGCCGAAGCAAAGGATGAATATATATATATATATATATATATATATATTATATAACATCGCGTCATACCAGATAGACGGTAATGGAAGGTCCTAAATGGATCAATGCAAGAGCTACATCCAACTTGAGCCAACTTGTTATAATTATCCCAATTTTGAAGAAGAAATGTTCCATTAGTTGCACGAACCAGCATTTAAGAGGACAAAGAGAAAAAGAGCATCATTGATCATTTTGTAACAACCCAAGTTTTCAATAGGAATCTAATTGCTAATTAAAAAGACAAATTAGTAATTTAGTAGATTAATTAATTTAATCATGTTTATGAGTTGTTAAGTGACATCTTGAATTATTGGACAGCTTCAAGATCAGGTTAGGGTGGAAATTGAGTCAGATCAAGTTTAAGTGTGTGTGCCAAAGTGAGTTTTGACTCACTATACCACGTCACGGCATGGCGCTACGCGCTCTGATGCACAGTGCATAATTTTGACAAATAAGTCGCGATCAAACATGAAAATGAAAGAGATAACATAAGAAAAATACGATAGTGTCGAACCCAAAAAATGCGACGCGGACAGCGTGAGAGTAGAGGTTCCAACCTTTGGAAAAAAGACCGGAGAAATGAGGAGTCACCACCAAAATTTTGAGAAAAATCTTGGAAAATCGTTTAAATGTGGATAAAGATAGTCTGCAAAATTAAAGAATAAGTTCGGGAGTCGATTGAGTGTGGGAAAGGTGTTAAATACCCCACAACACCCATTCGTCAAAATGGTTACCTGAAGTTTGTTGTGCTCTATTAATATAGTTTTATAATTATTTTAATTATCCCTTTTATATTCATGTGTTTGATATAAAAATGATAAGAATTAAGTAAGAAATATTTATTTATTTACGAGGGAGGACTTAACTCAGAATTTGACTCTGAGGCCTACGTACCCTGTGATGGGGATCCAAGTCCACATAATTCGGGTTTAAAAGTTTGTTGGTAAAAATATTTTTGAAGAGAAATTAATTAAAAATAATTTACCATTTTACAAATAAAACAATTTTTAAAATTTTGATATGTGTGTTTTAAATTGTAAAAATTAATTTAATTTCAATTATTTTCTCAATTTTTGAATTTTTGAAATAAAGAAAAGAAAAGAGTTTAAGAATTATTTTTTTATTTTTATTTTTTATATTTTATGATCAAGAATTTAATTGCTATACCTGCAAAGCTTTATTGGCTCATACGGAAATATAATTATTCTTTATATCTGCAGAGAATCCAAACTCTCATATGATAAAAGAGTTTAACAATTTAGTTTATTTACTTAAATTTTTAAATATTAATAATATCATTAATTTTTTAGTGCATTCATACATATATACTTTTTTTAAAAAGACTCTTAATCATTATACCTGCAAAACCTTATTGACTTTTACAGTAATACGATTATCCTAAATATCTTCGAAGATTCAAAATCCTCACACCATAAAGGATTAAATATTATATATTTTAAATATGTTTTTAATGCGTAACTATACAATTTATATTTTTAAACATAGAAATTTTAATAGCTATATCTGCGAAGTCTTATTGACTTTCACGGTAAAATGATTATTCTAGAGGTCTATAGACATTCAAAAATCTCATATGATCAAAAGATCTAATTGAAAAATATGATTATAATTTAAATTTATTAATTTAATTAATTAATAGTATAAAAAATGTTTATTATCTTTTACGAAATTCATATAAATTAAGGATTGAGATATCTGTGAGGATTTATTATCCTACACGATAAGGTAATTAATTTAATTCTCTAAAAAGATTCTTGAAATCTCACGTGAGATTTAAATATTTATTATAAAAAGAAAATTAATTTTAATAATGGGCCTGTAGAACCCATATAAGTACCTACAAAATTGATCCTCATACCTGTGAAATCTTATTGATTTTCATAGTATGAGATCATTTTAAATGCCTATGGAGATTTTAAATTTCTCTTGTGATATTGGTTATTTAAGACTATCCCTCTTTTGTTGTCTATCATCCAAAAATTACTGTATTTCACTCTATAAATGAATTTTAAGAATGATAATTTAAAGTTGTATATATCAAATTACACATGTAGAGAAACATGGATATAAAAATTCAGCTCAAGAATGCCCCTGTATAGGAAGAGAAAAATTCACCAATTAAGCTATAGGCTGTAACGAACCAATAGAGGAAAAATAAAAGCCAGTATATTTGACCGTATAAATGGGCTCCAAAAATCATGAAAATTCTAGGGATTAAACTAAACAGGAAAAGGAATATCTGTGCAAAATATCAAGTACCACGCAAATGTAGATATATAAAAGATCAACAAAGTAGGCTATATTTCAATGGTAAAATTAAAGTGAAGAATCTCAAGACAGCACTTGATATTAACGCACATCAACATATTTTCAAACTTCCCATGTTCACATACAATCTTAAGTTCAATCTTGAATTTTCAGCAAACAAAAGGAAAGGAGAGCAATGCAAGTTGGCTTATTGGTCATTATTAAGACATTGTGTTCAAGCATTGCACTGAAAGGAAACCACACCTTTAAACTTTTCTATAGTAAAAGCTCCAAAAAATATCAGTGCCATAACTGCACCATTATCCCTAAATCTTATTCCAAACTTTTCTTAGTTCTCTCTATTGTTCATTCTCGCGTCCCATGCTCTATTTTTCTGCATTTTCATTTCTCTCTCACTGTGCTCCGTTTTCTCATCCATTCCCAGCTCTCTTCTTCCTCCAGTTTTCCTCTTCTTTTTTCCATTTTTTTTCTTCTCCCACTCTCAGTCTCTTTTTCTCCAGAAAGCACTCCCTCTCAAACTCTTGGTCTTTCTCTCCTGTTCTAGCCTAAGAACTCACGTCTGCATGCAAGCACAATCTCTACTCTCTTGCTCTCCCTCCAACTTCTCAGTTCTCTCTCAAGCTTCTTCTTTGCATCCCTGGCCATCCACTCTCTCTCAACTTTTTTTCCTCCCTCCTTATGCTTTGTTTTTCTTCTTGCGTCCTCTCTTTCTCATCATTTTTTCAATTTCGGATCAGTCCTTATATGCTCTGTTTTTTGCTCCATTTTTCTCATCCCTGTGTCTCCCTTTCAGTCTCTCTCTTCTCTTTGTCCATGGCTCTCTCTTTTTCAGTCTCTCTTTGTCTCTGTTTCTACCCTCCTTTTCCAGTTTTTTTGTCTATTTTTTATTTGTTTTCTTCTTCTCGGTTTCTCATCTCCATGCTCTGTTTTTTTACCTCTCTCTCGTGCTCTCCTTTTTCTCCATTTTTCTTCTCCCTTTCTTTGTGTTTTCTCCATCTCTCCCTCTTCCTCTTCGTCTATCGTCTATGTTGTGTTTTTATGCTTTGTCTTTTTGTCTTCTGTCATGTCTCTCCTCCGTCCGACTGTCTTTCTAGTTCTTTTATTTCACTATGCACGTCTTTTTTCTTCTTCCTCTTGCATGCATGCGTGGCTGTGTTTCTGCTGTGCGTGTGTTTCATGTCTACTGCTGTGCATGGCCAAAAGCTTCTCTTCTTCTTATTTTTTTGTTTGCATTTGCTCGTGTGTTTCTCCTATTTTCTCCCTTCCTCCTTTTCAGCTAAAAAGTGTGGTGCTTTTTCTCTGCATTTGTGTGCACGTGTGTGTCTTTACATGGCTGCATTTCCGCTCTTCTCCTCTCTTTCTTTTTGTGTTTTAGTCTACTCCTCTCTTTTGTCTTTTCGTCTGTGCACGTTGGTTTAAGTCTTTTGGCTGTGGTGAAATTACAGCATTTCACCA